TTTTTTTTTTTTTTTTTTTTACGCTATCTCAATCACATATTTAAAAGTCTCTCTCTTGAACTGCAAAATTTCAAATGGCAGTCCTAAGTATCTAGAAGAGTGGGGACAAGAAATACCATTTAAGACTTGATAGACACCACTAATCACAGAAATAGGGGAGTTATTAGAGAAGAAAATAGAAGACTTTTCTAAATTGAAAAGCTTGATAGATGCAAAACCATACTCATGCAAAATATTCACCACAATTTCAGCTCGACTCACATAGGCACCACAATCCCAGGAACAACTGAACCCAAGACATTGCCATTAATATTGAATGCGAAAGAAGAAGTACAAATGCAAGCCATAATCCAAGACATAAACTTACCACAAAAACCCATGACTTGACATACTCTAGCAAGGATATTCCACTCCACTTTATCATAAGCTTTTGCCATATCCAATTTTACGGCCATAAAACAATATTTCCATTTTCTCTTGCTGTTCAAAAAGTGGATACATTCATTTACAATCATCACATTATCAAGAATTTGTCTACCTGGAATAAACATTCGACACAGATTCGAGTCTATTGGCTAAAGGTTTAGTAATAATCTTATAGGACACAGTGCAGAGACTGAAAGGTCGAAAATCACCTATGTTAGAGGCCTTTTTCTTTTTGAGAATTAAGGTGATTAATGTATGATTTGTAGCTTTTGGGATCTTACCATTTAGGAAAAAGTTTTGGATAGCAGGACAAAGGTGTCCTTTGATGGTATCCCATGAGTTCTGAAAAAAAAAAAAAAAAAAAAAATTGTCATGCCATCAATGCAAGTAGCTTTGTTGGGTTCCACATTCATGAGTGCTTTGTTAATTTCCTCTTCTTCAACAGGTTTGGTGAGCTGAGAGTTCATCTCTTCTTCAACAAAAGTAAACTGTGATGAGGATAAAAGAGAAATATGATTACCTATAGCATTAGGAAATTGGCTTGACCACTGAAGAGATAACAAAATTCTGTCAAGCTTTTATTTCCTGAACTAAATACCTCTCCTATTGTTTGGACCAGGTAAGGGATGACCATAGATTCTAAGCTCAACCCATCTAAATCATTAACAAAAGATCTGAAGTTATTAAAAGAAGAATCCCTTCTCCTAAGCCCCCCATTCTTTTCACTACTAGAAAGAAGATAACTGAAATCCCCAGAAACAAACCAAAGATCACCCCACATGGGTTTATGTCTAAATCAAGCCTAAACTCTAATCAGCAAAAAAAAAAAAAAAAAAAAAAAAATTATGGTTGGCCTTACAAACTTTGATTGGCAATATAATCATAGGAAAACGCATGCTTTGATAACAAATGAAAGAAATTTAACGAATATATTCATAATTATTAAGCTGAATTGAATAAACCCTAAGTATGTAATTCTATCTTTCGTTTCAATTATTTGTTTCTCTCTCTCTCTCTCTCGCCACTCTCGTCCTTTCATAAAGCCCTTGATGTTGAGAACTCTATTTGTGTATGAGCCGAGAAAAGGGGGCATGATATCTATATATATATAATTACTAGCTAATCATTAAATAAAACCTAATAAATAAAACCTATTTAATTTTACCTAGCTGTCACTAACCTCTTTTCCCTCCATTTTCGGTTACTTTTTTATTAATTCTCCTACATTAATTAGGTTAATGATATAAATCCTACTTTTAATATTTCCAATTTCCAAAATCAAATGAGATATTATTTTTAAAATCTGAATTCATATTTGTTGACTGAGCCACATTATGTGAAGTTATATGTAGATTTTTACGAAAAAAAAAAGAAATACATAAATGATTTACAAAAAATTACGAATATCTTTTCTGATCTAAAATGCAGTAAATAAAATTAAAAATAGAATATTCCAGCTCCATAATTGTTTATAATTCCTGCAATAAAGAAAAAGAAAAAAATATTAATGAAATCACATAAAATCATGCAATATAAGTAAAACATAATAATTCTGAAATTAAAGCAATTAATAAAAAGCAGGAGGAAAATATGAAAAAATAAAATATAAAACAATATAATTATAAAAAAAGCAGATTCCTGGGGAAATTGCAATTATTGTTATCAATATCAATCAAACATGGAATTTTGTATTTAATTATTATTTATACAAAAATTAATTATGAATTTGATGAAAATTAAATAAAGTTGACCAAGGTACAATAATTTTCAGCAAAAATTATGGGGATACATAGTAGTTTAGTATCCCAGGGAATTTTTTGATTAAATAAAATTTATAACCAAATTAATCATTTATTTGATGCAAATAATTATTTTGACTATCACAATTATTTTTCTGCTGAAATTAAGGACATTGACACGTTTGGTGCCCTATAAATACTAAAAAAAAAAATTCAGATTCTAATCACTTTCACACAACTATCTATTCCTCATTTCGAATTTTAGTCACAAGAAATTCATCTTGAAAAATGGCTTCCTACTTTGATAATCTCACATACCTTGCCAAAAACAAAACCAAAACGGCAATTTTGAGATTGGTTAGGTTTTATCCAAAAAAAAGAGAGTCGAGCCTCGAATTTGTGTTTCATGATATCAAGGTAGACATTGTATTATTTAGTTATCAATTAATTATTTGACATTCTGTATTTTACTTATTGTTTGTACACCAATACATGATTTTTATTTTTATTTTTCAGGGCGAGCGAATCCATGCCTCCGCAACCGACATCTTAGTTGAAAATTTCAGCCCATTGATCAATGGTGAAGGGAACACATTTGGGATAAGAAATTTCATATTGGAAACCGATCACAACATTTTCAAAACTACCACAAAAAATGAGCAGCTTTTGTTCAATGAGGAAACAAAAATTAAGGAGATTTTTTATGATGACTACCCAAAGTTCATGTTCAATTTCAAGGACTTTGGAGACCTGTCGGATCCATCTCAAATCGACTCCTCACGGCTAATTGGTAACATTAATACAGTTTTTTATTTTTTATCAAGAGTTTTCTAAAACAAAACTAATTCTAATTGTACTTTTATATTGATTCTAGATATCATTGGTCGAGTCGTGTTCTTCCAAAGCGTTCAAAAAGCTATGTCAAGAGGGGTAGAAAAGAGATTTATTGATATACTCCTCGAAGATGTTCGGTAAGTGTAAATTACCAATTTTTAATATTAATCCTCACACTCCAAATATTATAAAATCATTATGTAATATTTCTATTTTGTTATTTTATTAGCGGTTGCCAATTACTTTGCACATTATGGGAGGACTATGTGGATGTTCTACTTGAGGCAATGAAGAACTCCACTGCAGGAGAGGAAAAAGTTATAATACTTCAAATGTGCCGAGCGAAATCCATGCATGACGATACATATTTTTAAATTAACTAAAATACGATATACATTATTTTTTTTACATTTTAACTTAATTTTATTGAATAAGTTTATAGGGTCTGTGAGAATTGCCAATGCCTACGATGCAACCAAAATGATTGGAAAATTTGATGTGCCAGAAATTATTGAGTTCAAAGAGAGGTTATTGTTCAAAACATTGTTATATATATTGTTTAGTACACATATATGTATTTTGTCTCATTATT